CGGAATAGCCCGAAATAGTTGTGAGCAGTACTAAACCCCACCCAAATTAAATATTAAAGAAAGAAAAAATATTAAGTTGTTCTTCCATTTTTCATTTTCTGAGTTAAATTTTGATGCGTTTTTAGTTGCATTTTTAGTTCAGTGCTGCCATTGTGTGCGAAATTGTATGAAATTGAAAAAGGCATTTATTAAGAAGCAACTTTGTGCTCGCCAATCAGCAAACAGAGCTTAACCACTTCTCACCAATCACCGAAATTTGTCTCTTTTGATTGCCAATTAAAATTGGTGGCATAACCACGGCCTAATGAAAAGAACATGTGGGAAAAGCACTTTGGTTTTGTTTTTGTGTAGCAAAACTGCAATGCGAGGATGTAAGAAATGAAATGAAACGAAAACACTAACAGCCGGTGTGAACAGCCTTCAGCCCACAATTCCAAAACTCGTTTTCAAAGTGTTTCCGTTGTCGGTCAGAACATGGTATAAGCGAAAACAGCCCATTACGCGTAAAAGCACATTTAGCTCCATGATTCAATAATACAAGGTTCGATAAACTGACAGTTGTCTCTCTCGCACCGCTCCCTTAGCAGTGGCACCGTGTTGCTTCTTTGCAAATTTACATGGAAACAGTGTAGCTTCGGGTGAAATAAAAGTATAAGCTTTTGTGCAATATGTTTAATTGTATATGCATATGAAGCATATTTAACTGATGAAAACATAAGCATTGGATGTTTGCATCAATCTCATAGTAGTCTTATTTTAATTTTGAGTCATTTTGCAGTTTTTATACGGCTAAATAGCATATAAATTACGTAATTCACGTAGATATATCAATATTACGTTCAACATTTCGTTTAAAATGCCAGATTTCCTGCAAATACATTAGAATTTACAAAAGGAGTTTCACTACTAATTGCCTACTTTGCGTACTGTTCTACTACCATTTTCGCACCAAGATATTTCATTCTTCCCCTTTCTCCGTCCTTCGTAAATGCAACCTTTTGTAAGGGAGTGTCAAACCGCAGCTGTCAATAATTATCTAACCTTGTATTATTGAATCATGATTTAGCTCTAACTGCTACTCNGTAAAGTTAAGGGGAATACAAAAATATATTGGTGAAGTGGCTAATTTAAGCAGAATAGGAGTGATAAATGTACGCTAATTTCCGAATTTTACAAAAAAGGGCATATTTCAAACCCAATTTGTAAATAAATTACTGACCAAAATTTAAAAGTGAGTGTTAAAATATTGCGGGGACCCTTGACTACAAGTGTGTGAAATTTTTTTTGGTTCGGGCCACCCATTTGGACGGAATAGCCCGAAATAGTTGTGAGCAGTACTAAACCCCACCCAAATTAAATATTAAAGAAAGAAAAAATATTAAGTTGTTCTTCCATTTTTCATTTTCTGAGTTAAATTTTGATGCGTTTTTAGTTGCATTTTTACTTCAGTGCTGCCATTGTGTGCGAAATTGTATGAAATTGAAAAAGGCATTTATTAAGAAGCAACCCTGTGCTCGCCAATCAGCAAACAGAGCTTAACCACTTCTCACCAATCACCGAAATTTGTCTCTTTTGATTGCCAATTAAAATTGGTGGCATAACCACGGCCTAATGAAAAGAACATGTGGGAAAAGCACTTTGGTTTTGTTTTTGTGTAGCAAAACTGCAATGCGAGGATGTAAGAAATGAAATGAAACGAAAACACTAACAGCCGGTGTGAACAGCCTTCAGCCCACAATTCCAAAACTCGTTTTCAAAGTGTTTCCGTTGTCGNATTTAGCTCTAACTGCTACTCTAAGGACCGGTTACTCAATGTCTGGTTAACACTAATCTCCGGTTAAACATAGTTATCGACGTTATCGACTCCCTGTTGTATGCACGGAGTCGAATACGACGATAACGATGTTTAACCGCAGATTAGTGTTAACCGGACATTGAGTAACCGGCCCTAAATGTACATTTATCCATACCAAATTCGTCACCTAAATGAAACTCCATTTCAGCGGTAAGAATCTAAATGCTAAAAGCAACCCTGTGATCTTAAAAATTTCCAACGTTTCGAACATGGTTTAATGAGAAAACGTGGCAACATTGCTTTTTCGCGTATACAGTTGCTAGCTGCGTTTCAGTGGTCGCTGATCGAGATTTCATTTATTATTTTACATTATTTGGATAAAGAAAAGTTACGCAAAATCAACATCGGAGTGATGCTGAAAGAAATCTGGATCAATTTGTGATCAATTCTGTTTGTTTTGTTTCCTAATTAATTGAGGAGATTTTAATTGCCAGCACCGACAACTGAATATGTACACAAACAAATTTGCGGTTATGGTTAAACCATTCAAGTTTTTGTATTGAAGTTTTTGTTTAAAATTTCTTTTAGTCTTTTCAGTAGGGTCTTTTGCAAATTATCTTTTCCGTGAGAATTGATCGTGATAGATCCGGATTTGAATAGGCCACTGGAACACGGCTGTTTGTCAAAAGCATACGATTTCGAGCTCGCGTAAATGCACATTTTCTAAATGCGATAGCATGAACGCTCTTCGAAAAAATATGTGGAACAAGTGCAGTTTGGCACCAAATCTCAAATTAGAAAACAAAATATTGGGATCGACAGAGATGATTGAGCCGAGTATAACGGTATACTTACAACAACAACAACTATCATCAAAGGTTAAAGTTCAAAATAAGCTATTTTTGAAACCAAGATTTCTTAAAAACAAATGGATGGATAATTTGGTATACATACTTTATATATATGTTGTATAGTTCTTACAAAAATTTAATTAATGAGGTTGTTCACACTTGCCTGGTTATCAGGTTATCTGGTTATGTGGTTATTATTTTATTCACTTTACAACAATAAAATACACTACAGAATAATAATTTTTCACCAGATAACCTGATAACCTAGCAAGTGTGAACAACCTATATGTAAAATAATTATAAAAAAAACACATTTTGCAGAGAACACCTTTTACAGAGGACACCTTTCGGCGTAGGCGGCCTTCGGCCGCACTTAGGGATTATAACCCTCACAAAGTAGAATTCTCTTTCTGTGTTGCGCAGAAAAGGCACTGAACACCTTTTGCAGAGAACACCTTTCTGCATAGGTGGCCTTCGGCCGCACTTCGGGATTATAACTCTCACAAAGTAGAATTCTTTTTCTGTGTTGCGAAGAAAAGGCACTGAACACCTTTTGCAGAGAACACCTTTCTGCGTAGGCGGCGTCGGCCGCACTTAGGCTTTGTAAGCTTTTTTTAATACTTATTTTATATTAATTCAATTTTTGTAAGAATTATACAACGTATATATAAAGCACGTATACCAAATTAAAGGGAATCAAATTTCCTATTGAATGAGATCAAATTTTTCACAATCCATTAATTGGTTTCTAAGAAATATTGATTTCAAAAATAGCTTATTTTGAGCTTTAACTTTTGATAATTCTTGGGAACACCTAAAGAATACTAACCTTTAAGCTAGAGAAAAAAAAGTGGACGTGGCCTGCCCCCTTTTTCGGATTTTAACGGCATATTTTTTTTTGTGCAAATTGACAGGGGCGGCGATAGGGGGGGCTAAGCGTTCATAAGCTTATATTTCGAAAACTTTTGAACAGATTTTCTAAGTATGGGCACGGTTGGAAAGGTGATTGAAGGGCCTTTCATTTGATATATATATCTATGTATTTAATGTATACACATTGCGAGAAAAGGTAAAAAACGAAATTATGGCAATTTTTTTTTATAAAAATATGTTTTTCTTTAAAAAATACGTAATTAACTAAATTACCAGATATGTTTATCAGAAAGAGCACAAAAATACCGTTAATTTGAAATATGATAGAAAATCTCACTCTCTTTAGTTTTTACAAAAATTGAATTAATTAAAGAAATATATACAAACCATTTTTTTTAATCACCTTATTTGTTATAACATTGAGTTGTAGAATTAAATGGATAATTAATCAAGCTACGCTATCCACAGTATTTTTGTGTAGAATTACTTTCTAATTCTAACCCTCACTACGTAGAATTCTCCTTTCTGTGTTGCCATAGAAAAGGAGCCGAACAACTTTTGCAGAGAACACCTTTGTGCCCAGGCGGCTTTCGGCCGCGCTTAGGCAGTATAACCCTCACTATGTAGAATTATTATTTCTGTGTTGGCAAATTAAAGGGGCTGAACACCTTTTGCAGAGAACATATAACATAAATACAGTTGTTTTATTGCACCGCTAGCAGTTGTATATAAACCTAACTATATAAAATTATACGCCAAATTAAAGGTATTTTTATGATCTTTCCGATAAACATATTTGTTAATATAGTTAATTACGTATTTTTTTTTACGAAAAACATACATTTTTGTAAAAAAATTTCCATAATTTCGTTTTTTTACTTTTTCCCAAAATATGTTTGCATTATACACGTAGATGTAAATATTGAATGAAAGGTTTTTCAATTCCGTTCCAACTGTGTCCATATTTTGGAAATCGGTTTAATAGTTTTCAAAATATAAGCTTTTGAAAATGTTGGAAATTCCACGTATAGCCCCCCTAGCGCCGCCCCTGTCAATTTGCACAAAAAAAAAAGTTTACCATTAAACTCAGCAGAAAGGGCTTCACCACGTCCACGTTTTCTTTTTTCTCTAGCTCAAGGGTCGGTATTCTTTAGGTATGCCAATTCTTGTTGTTGTAGTTTCCTCAAAAAAAGAAGTATACCGTTATACTCAGCTTAATCATCTCTATCGATCCCAATATTTTGTTTTCTAGTTAGAGATTTGGAGCCAAACTGCATTTATGCCAAATATGTTCTAAAGTGCTAAAGTGAATTAGTGAAAAGGTGTACATTTATTGCTATTGGCATGACAGTATTGTCAGGCGTAAACCCTAAGTAAATGGCTTGTACATGCAGAAAGATAAATACATTTCTAGGTCTGTGTTTACTCCATTTGGAAACAGAGTATTATTACTACAGATCTGGTAGCACTGAAGTGGTGGAGTTATCCATTGTGGTGAAAAAAATGTAGTGCGGTGGGTGCACAGGCATTTGCAGAAATTTATTTAGTGTATTTTTATTAAAAAATTCGATCGAACAAAGTTTGAGATTATCTAAAATAATATTAGAAGTAATAGTTTATAATTTTAACCTTACATAGTTCGGAGGAACTTATTTAACGACGCTCCGCAATTTTTCTCTGCTAATGAGTACGCATATTTGTCCTCAGTATCTTCTGCAACATAAAAATTTTGCCATTTATAAATATCCAAAGTCTTGAGTAGACGACGTGCGCGCTGTGGATACATCAATTCAAGAGCAATAACAAAAGCTACGTCCAAAATCAGCACAGTGATTTAGGGGTGTATACATGTGTATGTGAGCCTTTTCATGAGTTAAAACATTCGCATATTATTGTTAATTTTTCTTTAAACACTTAATACTCATCGAATTCTCATCAATGTATGCATGTATATGGTACATGTAGTAAGGTAATATATAGTTGTGGACACTGTTCGGATCTAACGCTTTGTTGGTCAGTTTGGTAACTCGTCGCGTTCGCGTTGAGTGCTTGGAATTTACAGGGTCTTGCACCGGTTGGTTTATCTGTGTCCGTTGGAATCGATTCTTATTAATAGCTTCCAAACGACTTCATAAACATAAGCGTTTGAAATTACTGTGAAAAATGGCCAATAAATTTCCCACGGTATAGGTAGTACCAATTCAAATAAGTGTCGCTGGAGATATCAGTAGAGAAGACCTTAACGAAGTATTCATCAGCTGTTGCTTTACTCACTGCCAACATTACAACAACTTTGCTATCACAATATTTCTTGCAGTTACGTCGATGCAACAAGCAATTAAGTTAAAGTTATATGGCAAAAAAGGTAGGTAGACTATTCCAAGAAAAATAATCTCAGTTAAAATACGTTTCTTTAACACAATAGAAAAGTAGTCATGCTTATTATCGTATCCGACCGTGCCATCCACACGGATCTAATCCGATTCGCACTGTCATAACATAATGAATCATTTTCTGAATCAGTAGTTGCGTTCCCCAACTTTTCTGGGTTAAAACCTGTGAAACTGTCAAAAGGCAAAAGAAGCCAGAGAACCGAGTACGGGAATGCTTTCTGGTAAATTCCTGTAAATTCTTGCAACTTACGAGTTAGGGAACGCAACTAGTGCGAATCGGATACCGCCGGATACCGTAATAAGCATTAGTTGCGTTCCAGATGCTTCACGATTTGCAGGTTTTTACAGGAAGTCGTTCCAGGTGACCACCTCCCATAAGGTTTATTAATGGAGAAAACAGCTGTTCCTGCAAATCGTGAATTTCGTGAATATCGTGAAGCATCTGGAACGCAACTATTATTGTGTTTTCATTTTCAACTTTGTTAAGTTTACTTGGATAAACTTGATGAATGTGTAGTGTTTGAATCAAGTTACTTTATTTATTAAATAGTTTAATTCAAAAGCAGTACAAAAACTAGACCTATGCTGTATGCTTTGAAGCTGACAAAAAGTACAACTGAATTTTTCAACCAACGAATAAGTTAGCGATCATACACTGTNATGCGACTGCGCCTACATCGCCACTAACAACATTAATGCCAGAGTCATCAGCGACCGCCATAATATTGTCTGCCTTCTCCGCTAAGCTGTCCAGCTCTCCAGTTACAGTTTCCAAAATTTGTTGCACGTTCCTTGGAAGTTGACGCAGCCACAGCGACTTAAGCACCGCCTCGTCTAAGTGACCATCTGCCAAGTCTCGCAATTCCCGAAGGAAAGTTGTCGGCTTCCTACCATCTATTGTGTTACCGCTCAGCAAACGCTTCATACGTACTTCCTTCGATTCGCTGAATTCCTTAATTAGGCGCTCCTTCAGTGCGTTGTACTTATTGCCTGCCGGAGGCCTTTGGATAATATCTGCTGCATGCTTTAGCACTGAGGAATCAATTTCTGCGACTAACGTATAAAACTTAGTCTCATCTGTCGTAATATTTGAGCGAATAAATTGGGCTTCAACCTGCTGAAACCATAGCCGAACATCGGGCTTCCAAAATGGCGGCGGTTTAATTGCCACCCGAGCGATTTGCAAATTCGAAGCATCTACGAAAATTTCTCCGTCTCCTTCCGTGTGCATCTTTACTTTCGACGGGGTCACCACTTTGTAGTGTTTGAATCAAGTTACTTTATTTATTAAATAGTTTAATTCAAAAGCAGTACAAAAACTAGACCTATGCTGTATGCTTTGAAGCTGACAAAAAGTACAACTGAATTTTTCAACCAACGAATAAGTTAGCGATCATACACTGTAGTCAAACCGATAAAACTTATCGGCCTTTCAGTGTTGCCGCTACAAATGTAATATCGCACGTTTAATAATTTAACGAAGTATTTCAAAATTTCAATTTTGTGGGAGAACGCCATTAAACTTTTATCATTTCATACAAATGGTATACAAAAAAAAAACATGGAAATACACATATCTTCGCCATATTTGGGAAGTTAGGTTATCTGTTAGACTGAACATATTCTATTTATCGGGCTTATTAATTGCATAATGAAATATCCAAAAACGTAAATTTTGAGTTACTTACATCTCTAAATTATTAAACGACGTTCTATATGTTTTATTAAAGATAAACAGATTTGTCTGTTAACACTTCATTTCACTCCCTTTCTTCAATAAACTTCGACTCTCTTGAACCCTTCACTGATGATGTAATGAATGGTATACGACAACTTAACAACTTAACTATCGATGCAAACGGATGTTGACGGTCTTTCATCAGTTTTATTCAAAAATTGCCCTGCCCTCGTCTATCCTATAAAATTAATTTTTAATAAGTCACTTGTATCTGCATTTCATTGATGCGTGGAAATCAGCTACAATCACACCTATCTTCAAAAATGGTAACAAGAGCAGGGACGTGAACCGGTTTTGAACCGGAAAACCGCTTTCTTCTATTAATTAACTGAACCCTTAACCGAACCGAAATTTTCCACAAATGTTTGATCCGAACCGAAAACCGAACCACTTTCCTAAAGGTTTAAAGGTTCATTTCAACCAATTTTCAATAGATAAATGTACCCACTTTTTTTCTTTTTGTTAACCTACCATGTTTGTTTACCATGTGACAATATCAAATGTAAAGGCAACCCATCTCATTTGACAGACACTTGACCCTTAACCTTGCGCGCTGTTGCACTTGGCACATGACACTTAAACTTGTGCGTTATTTTTTTTTTGTTTTTCGAACCGTTGAACCGAACCGAAACCCCGGTTCAAAGACCAAAAAAACCGCTTTGACGAACCAATCCAAAAGTGCAAAAACGGTTCGAACCGCTTAACCGAACCGACCAAATTTTTCATTCGGTTCACGTCCCTGAACAAGAGTGATATATCTAACTATAGACCCATATCGAAATTGTCCACTATCTCCAAACTCTTTGAGTGCATCATGAAGAATAAGCTCTATTTTTCTGTTAAGCATCTTATTTGCCCTAATCAACATGGGTTCGTGACTGGACGTTCTACTACTTTGAACCTACTGTATTTCTTCTTTACAAAAGGGTTGTTGTTGTTGTTGTAACAGCATACAAATTCCCCAACAAGATTTTGGGGAGTGTTGCTGGAGTGACAGTCCTTGGCCAGATATAAATTTGGGTCGTTCCGGTTACGTAGACCCGACTGTCGTGGGAACGATTACAAAAGGGTCATCAGGTCGACTTAATTTATACCGATTTTTCAAAAGCATTCTATAAAGTGTCCCATAATATACTTACCCACCCTTCGTGTATTATTAACTGGTTTAAGTCTTATCTGTGTAATAGACAATGTGTTGTCATGCTAGATAATGTCTCGTCGGTTCCTTTCACAGCTGCATCTGGTGCCCCTCAAGGGAGCATTCTGGGTCCACTTCGCTTCCTATTATTCATTAATGGCATTGGCAATTGCTTTTCATTTGCCAATTACCTGTTATATGCTGATGATCTTAAGATATATCACACCATCGCTAATGTAGGTGATATGCACAAGCTCCAGCGGGATGTTGACTGTCTGTATACTAGGTGCGTAAACAATCGTTTAAGCCGTACACCCCTATGCTGTAATCTGTCGTAGATTTGATTTTGCTACAAATCGTAAAATTGGTATGCTGAAATCCGCGTTGTCGTATTGAGATTTCGAAATTGGGAGGACATCTTCGAAATTCGTAATTAGTCTGTTCCAATAGCAGTCCGGTTTACAGGATTTAGTCAGAACTTACAGGAAGTCGTTCCTATTGACATAAAACCTGTAAGTGGGAACACTTTTGAGAGAGTAACTGAGCAACTGTTCCTAGTCAGAAGTTACAGGATTTAGATTTACATGTGCAAACAAAAACAGAAAGCGGTGAAAGTAAAGAACCTTATATTTGTTAAAAAATGTAAGTAAACAACGAAATATTTGAATATGTATAGATTTTAATAATTATTTAGTGATATTTCAGCCAAATCAGTGTTGTACCAATGACATGTAAACAAGCCGACAAACGTTTTTACAGGAAATAGTGCTTTTTGCGTTCCAGTGCACTTCTGCATCTGTTCTCCTTTACTCTCACTTGAGAGAGTAAAATTGTAGTTTGACAGTTCCACAGGTTTTAGTGCGAAGTTCAAAGGAACAGACTAAATGTTGGTATGCCTGAATCCGACGATTTCACTGCGATCCGACGTAGCTGTCATTTTTATGTATTTGTCGGAAATTTTGTACGAAGAGCAACTAGTGTCGGCGTGATAAAAACATTACAAGGTAAATAGTCTATTCCAATAGCAGTCCGGTTTACAGGATTTAGTCAGAACTTACAGGAAGTCGTGACATAAAACCTGTAAGTGGGAACACTTTTAAGAGAGTAATTGAGCAACTGTTCCTAGTCAGAAGTTACAGGATTTAGTCCGGGGTTTTTTTCCTGTAAGTTCATGAAAAGTGTCAAACGATCAGCTGATTCGCATGTACAAACAAAACAGAAAACGGTGTAAGCAAAGAACCTTATATTTGTAAAAAAAAATGGAAATAAACAACGAAATATTTGAATATGTATAAATTTTAATAATTGGTTAGTAAAATTTCAGCCAAATCAGTGTTGTCCAAATGACATGTTTTTGCGTTCCCGTGCACTTCTGCATCTGTTCTCCTTTTACTCTCGCTCTCAATTAATTTTAGTCTGTTACTTTGAACTTCGGACTAAAACCTGTGGAACTGTCAAAATACAATTTTACTCTCTCAAGTGAGAACTTACAGGAAAGAAAACTTCTGACTAAATCCTGTAACTTCTGACTAGGAACAGTTGCTCAGTTACTCTCTCAAAAGTGTTCCCACCTTCAGGTTTTATGTTAATAGGAACGACTTCCTGTAAGTTCTGACTTAATCCTGTAAACCGGACTGCTATTGGAACAGACTAATTATTTCACTATGGCTTTTACCTTGTTATGTTTTTATCATGAGTGTCGGAACAAAAATTGTTTTAAAATATCAATAAAATAAAGTGTGTAAACACAAAAATATGTAAGTTAAAGTGTAAATAGAAAAAAAATTGGATTATTATTAAACATGAGGTCTAGCGCGGTGGTTATCGATGGCGTTTCGTCTAAGCCATTTTCTGCTCTCTCAGGTGTCCCACAGGGTAGCATCCTGGGCCCACTATTTTTCGTACTATTTATTAATGACATCAGTTCCTGTTTTTCAAATGCTAGTTTTCTCCTGTTTTGCAGATGACTTGAAAATATATTCTGAAATTAGATGCATAAATGACTCGGCTGAACTTCAATCGCAGNGTCCTACCTACGCATGAGATCTAGCACGGTGGTTATCGATGGCGTTTCGTCTAAGCCATTTTCTGCTCTC